TATGAATAAAATATGTTCTGGTTTTGGATTACACTGTGATTCTGGAGTTCAAATCATTACATATTGGGCTTAGATAATGATTCAGTTGCTGAGTTGCTCAGAGTACTTCACTAGGGATGGTTGTCATCCAGTCAAGAATGAAAATTTAGGAAGTTAGAGGCTTGAGTATTGTGCAGGCCCATTTAGATATCTTCAAGTCAACTTTGTGCTTATGTTCAGTCATTCACCCTTTAGTTGTTGTAAATGGCTCCTCTCCATATAGCTAAGGTCGATCTCCAACAGATCTATAACTTTGAAGTTTGAAATAGGCGCATGCTTGGTTTTAAAAAGCGTGCTTCACCAAGAAGCACTGAGGCAGTTAGAAAACCGCCTCGGCCTTGAGTTTTGCGCATCAGGGCACATTGTCCTAGTCATGTGACACTGTGCCTCTGCCTCCTCTTGGAACTCTACTAGACCTTTTCTTGCCTTTTTTATTTTAAATGGAAGTCACCACCGAGGGAAGTCGTAGGAGTCTCAAAAGTCAGGAAAAAGATTTGAAAATCCCAGGGACTGCCAGTGTCACAGGAAAGTTGCTATTTTCACCTTCTTCCTCATCTTCTTTCTTGCTCTTCTTCTTTCTCTTCTATTTTAACTTTTGCACGTTACAATTCTGTCTCTCTTGTTCTTTGCTTTTATTTTCTTCTCCTTCCTCTTTCCATCATCCCCTGTTATCTTACCAAGTTACTAGACCCATTACTTTCTTGTTTCTTCCATTTTTTCGTCACTGTATTTCTTTCCAGGGTAATACTGTCATAAGCTTTTTTGGCTTTCTATGATGTTATGAACTTTTTTATATTGTGAGTTTTTCATGTCAAGAACTAAAGATTTCACATTCGAATTTGCTTTGTATTACACTCCAATAAGATAAAATATGAACCGTATTCCTTGATTAAAATTCAAAACTTGGTGTCGTTGTGTTGAGTACAAGATATCTTGTGCATGTAATGTAAATGCATTTTAGCAAAGAGATGCACCTCAATTCCATGAGGTGTGTGCCTCCGTTTTGTGCCTCACTCCTTGGCTCCTGGAATCAAATCTCCTCAATGCTCCTCATGCCTTTTAAAACCAGTGGCATGTGAGAGTTCATATAAATACCCAGCATTATGCTCACGAACTGTAAAAACTGTCAACAATACTGGTTTGTTTAGTAGAAATGGAACTAATGTAAACTTTAAAACACCTCAAAAGTATATACTCTGCGTATATTTCAATTACTATTAAAATAATCTTAATAGTAATTGACTATTTACTATTAAGATTTTGTTAATCTTTATTATTGTTGCTTTTCTCAAGATGCAGAGAGAGTACTGCATTTTTTCGTCAACTCTATCATTGAACTTATTGATGGATAATTTCCCAGGCTATCATAAAGCCTCAGTATGTGGATCATATTCCAAAGGCCGTGCAAGGAAATGTGGGGCAAGTTCTTGATCAAAAGGATGAGAGGGACATCAAAGAAGAACTATGCATTGATCTTGAGCTGAATCAGGTTTTGGACCGTAATGTTGAAGATTTATCTGGTGGTGAGCTTCAACGGTTTGCCATCGCTGTTGTTGCAATACAGAATGCCGAGATCTACATGTTTGATGAACCATCAAGTTACCTTGATGTGAAACAAAGGCTCAAAGCTGCTCAAGTTGTTAGATCATTGCTTCGACCCAACAGGTTCTGTGGTTCCTCTTTCTTCTCAGCATGTTTACTTCGAGTCCCGTTATTAGATTGAGATTTATGTGTCTCTAGTGATTTTTACTAATAGTTCATACCTTTTGGTTTCAGCTATGTAATTGTTGTGGAACATGATTTGAGTGTTCTGGATTACTTGTCGGACTTCATATGCTGCCTATATGGAAAACCCGGTGCATATGGTGTTGTCACCCTTCCTTTCTCTGTTAGAGAGGGAATTAACATATTCTTGGCAGGTTTTGTGCCAACAGAGAATCTAAGGTTTCGTGATGAATCACTTACCTTTAAGGTGCAATAATTTTCTTTTTCTGTATGCTGCCTGACACTTTCATGCTGTATCAGCTACTTATCCCCTCTGTCACTGCCCCTGCACCTAGGTTGCTGAAACTCCACAGGAAAGTGCTGAGGAAGTTGAATCATATGCTCGCTATAAATATCCTACCATGTCAAAGACTCAAGGTAATTTCCGGCTTAAGGTGGTTGAGGGTGAATTTACTGATTCCCAGATTATTGTAATGCTTGGCGAGAATGGTACTGGGAAGACAACTTTCATCCGAATGCTGGTATGCCTTTTATTTGGCAATTTCACTGTTTTTTTATATCTCAAGGTTGATTCTCATTATAATCATTGTTGGCCTTTTACACCATGAAATTGACTGCAGGCTGGGTTGCTAAAGCCTGACGTTGTGGATGGTGATGTGGAGATACCGGAGTTTAATGTCTCTTACAAGCCACAGAAAATCAGCCCCAAATCTAAATCTACCGTGAGGCATTTGCTACACCAGAAGATACGCGATTCCTATACACATCCACAGTTCATCTCAGATGTAATGAAGCCTCTACAAATTGAGCAATTGATGGATCAAGAGGTTTTGAACCTATCTGGTGGAGAGCTTCAAAGAGTTGCCCTAGTTTTGTGTCTCGGGAAGGTAAACTCTATCACTATCTTATCCCTCTCCTAAATATTCCACTCAACATTTATGTGATTTTTGGAATTTGTATTTAGTTTTTCTCCTATATCATCCTACCTCCATTCAAATAATTACAACCTGTTGAATTTTAAGCTATTCGCATGCTCTATTTTGACTACATTTTATTTTTTAACGTATGAAAAAAAATATTTTGATTTCTCAACTTCTCATTTCAAGTGTCTTGTTCAATTTCTCGATATTATTATAAAAGCCGCTCTTTTATATTAAAAAAATTCTCATTTTAAGCTTTCAAAATCTGATGTTTTTTATTACTAATATTTATTGAATTTAAATATATTGATGTTCAAAGTTTCGCATTGGCAATTGTGAAAGTGGAATTTTGCAATTAAAAAAGAACAGAGGAAGTACTAAAATAGAACTCACGGGGAAAAATAACACGTTCACTATGAAAGTATCGAACTCATGGGAGAAAATAACATGTACACTATGAAAGTATCGGTGGTCACTGCAGTGTAAAATTGAATGTCACCATGGTTGTTGCTAATTATTGCAAAAATACCACAATGGTCCCTGCATATTAAGTCACTTTCTTGTCCATTATTATTATTTTAGTCCTACATTTTTCATTATTTCTTGTCTCTATTGGTCATTTCCAATCAAAGAAGAAAATACTGTGCTGCATTCTATGTCAGTAATAGTGTCCGAACTCCTAATCATCATACCTTTGGCACTTTGTCAGTAGGATTATTAAAATTTCCCAACCATGGTTTTCAATATTGTTGGCTTTTCAGTTGCTTTGTTGAAGTTGCTCAAATCTTGAACTTGTATATTCGGTAAATGACTTTCTGTTGTGCAGCCGGCTGACATATACTTGATAGATGAACCCAGTGCATACCTGGATTCTGAGCAGCGTATTGTGGCTTCAAAAGTCATAAAGAGGTTTATACTTCATGCAAAGAAGACGGCTTTTGTGGTGGAGCATGACTTTATCATGGCAACCTACCTAGCTGACAGAGTGGTTGTGTATGAAGGGAGGGCGTCTGTTGATTGTATCGCAAACTCCCCACAATCCTTGCTCACTGGAATGAATCTTTTCTTATCCGTAAGTTTTTTCTGTGTAGAATAGACCCCCCCACCCCATGACTAAAAATACAAACAAATAACTAGACAACTTTAAGCCGTTTGGTTAAATTAACAGAGGAAGAAATAGAGAAGCAAGAAATGAGCGAAATAAAGAAACAGAGGGAGTTCATCTCTCCTCCATATGAGGGAAGAAATAAAATGATGGTACCCATCATTTCTATTTATCTCCTTCCATTCCTCTCCTTACCGAAGTACCAAGAGTTTTTTTTTATTTCCTTCATGTGAAAAAAATGGTCTTTCTATTCTGGTTTCACCTATAATCAAACAAAGCTTGATCATGTTCATGGTTCAGTATCTTACAAATCTTTCAACTTTTTTGGGTTTCTGTAGCATCTGGATATCACATTCCGAAGGGATCCGACCAATTTTCGCCCAAGAATTAACAAACTTGATTCAACCAAGGACAGGGAACAAAAGAATGCTGGTTCCTATTATTACCTAGATGATTGATTTGATTGATTGCTTTGATGATAGCCAATCCTCCTTTGCTCATCTTTGTGGTATATTAGGTGCACACTTTTTTTGCCTCTTCCTACTGCTGGGCTTACCAGTGGCCTCCCATCCTCCACCTCTGCTTTTGGGGTTATTAGATCTCACATATCGAATTTTGGTTTAATTTAAGCATAAATAGATTCTATAGAGAAACTAGGGGATTGATGAGAATTGCCACCACTCCAATGAAAGATTTGTTGGCTTATTTTGTACTGTGCTTGTTTTTTTAATAAGTATATTGGAATATTGGTACGAGATGTTAAACTCACTCATGTTTGATGTGTGGTTAATTCTTGGTTGAAAGACTTCACTAATTTTCTGCTGTGCCTTTTTATGTACACACAATACACACACAACATACATATCCATAATGCACTAAAAAAAATTCGTCAAAAACCCCCGGGACGACCTCAAAATGAGATGGCCAGATGGCAGTGAAAGACTTAGCTAATTTTCATATTTGAAATAATTTCGTATTAAAAATATCATTGGTCAAAGTTGATTGCATTGACAAAGAAAAACCAATTTGGCTAACTTTTTTGAACGGAAGGGATATATATATATATATATATATATATATATATATATATATATATATATATAACAAAAAATATGCATATGTATGTATATATAGGGAAGAGTTCAAATAAAAAGAGGTGCTCCCGTGTAAAATGCGAACAATTGTACTTTTTTCTTACCGCGTTGTATTATTTCATGTTTATGTTACACTTTCTTGAAGTGGCACAAAACTTCGATTTACTTACTCATTTTGAGCCGTTAGATCTGAAAATAAGTGCACAAGATTAAGAGTTATGCTAGAGGTACAAAAACTTTTACAAAAAGTCTTACAAAAGAGGTATGTGACATCATCACATTAGAATAGCTATTTAACACCTCACATTTACAACATTTTTACATCATTGGTAATTAGAATAGCCACATCACTTGTTTGTAAGTTTTTTTGTAAGTGTGTTTATACTTCTAGCATTTTCCCAAGATTAATTTCCTCTTTGTACCTCTTTGTATCTAAAAATGTACTTGTGATTGAGCTCTTTTCAGACAGGGTCATATGTTTCATTTTTTATAGGGGTGGACTCAGGTCCGGGTCAGGCCTAGGCCCGGGTGAGCTGGCGGTTCAGGAGTGGTGGACCCAGGACCGGCCCGGGCTGGGCCCATTATCAATTTTTTTCCCTCTTCCTAATTGACCCCCCTCCCACCTCCAACCCCCCAAACCACAACCCCCAAATGGTCCAAAATACCCAGTCCAACCCGAAAATTTAAAAAAAAAAAATTGAAAAAAAAAATAGTTTTGGCCCGAACCGGCCCCGGGCCTGGCCGGGTTGGGCCTTGTTTTGGGTGACCCGAGCCCGGACCGGAAAACCCATGGGTCGGGCCTACCCGAACCGGTCACTGACCGAGCAACCGGGTCGGGCCGGGCCGGAACAGTGCCGGTCCCGGGCCGATTCCGGGTCGGGCCACCCGGCCCGAGTCCAAACGGGCTAAAAGCCCGGAACCGGCCAACCAGTCCCGGTCCGGTCTAGGCCCAAACAGTAACAGGCTGGGCCGATTCCGGGTCGGTCCGGCCCGGTTTAGTCCATCCCTTCCTCGACCCCATTTAGTATGTCACTACTAATTCCTAAATGCCATCCAGACCTAGTATTGTACCCACAAACCAACACAAGCCTTTACCACACTTTGTCATTACTTGCACGCGGCCGTGAGAAACTTGAAGTTCTTAAAACCCATGCAAAACTACTCATGTTCAAGCACACTCAACGTGCAGTTCTTACCAGATGAGCTCCTTAAAAGAAGATGTACCTTATTTGTATGAATAGTAATATCAATCCTTTTAAGCTAATTTTAAGTATTACCATGGCAGTAAGGAATCCCTAAATAGGACTACAAATAGATGCATCCAAATGAGGTATAAAAGTAGGATTGGTATGTGGAATTAACATCACATGGAGTCGGTTAGTACAGAGTAAATGAATAACCCTATGTTTAGTTAATTAATTCCACTGGATATCCACTTATCCAATATCTCAAAGTCTGTAGTAATCTGTATATCAGTTTATAATTTTCAAACAGTAGAGAGCATTTGTCAATATACACAATGAAAGAGAGAACAATTAATGAAGTCCAATATGGTGCATCCTAAGTTAGTACATATAAAACGTTCCGTGAGTTTTGCTGCATGAATTTACCTTACCCTATCTCTGTCTCACAAGTACAGAACTCTCTGATGGTTCCACTCTGCTGAATTTCATTTACCAGCGGGGATGATCATCCTGGGGGGTCAGGGGTGGTACAGGTTTCCAATCAGGTGTTTCATCCCAATACATGTCATAGTATATGTGACCCGGTGTTTTCTTTTCTACGCAACACCATATCCCCACGTATCGCTTCACTCGCTTTCTGAATCTTTCTTCCCTTCCCTGATTCATGCACAAAAAAAATCATGGGTTGACAGGTCAAGTCAGATAGTAAAAATGTCACTTTAGGTGGGAATCATGTTACTTTTAGTGTACAAAGTATCATCGGTTGCTTTTACTAGTAGCCCGAATTAGTTCCCTAAAATTCTTGCTTTTAGGGAGCATTTGGTTCAGATTATCTTAAATAACCCTTGGTTATAGGATAATCACATAAAAGGAAAATGGAAAATATAGACACCCACGTCGGAGAGAGAGAGAGAGAGAGAGAGAGAGAGAGAGAGAGAGAGAGAGAGTTACCTTGTCAGAGAAACCTAGGAAGGCATCTTGCATTGATGAGAACTGAATAACTTTGACATCCTTAAACGAGGAGAAAACTGTCTTGAACTGTTTATAATGAACTCATTGTTTATCACTCACATGTACAAGCAGAAGAAAAGAAAAAAGGAGAAGAGAGCACACATTTTTGTATCAACGACATGAAGTAGATTCCTAGCAACTTGCCAAAAAAACTATATCATGCACAAAAGATTTTGACATTTTTAATTTTAATTTATTTTTAATAATCACTAAAATCCACTGTGATGTGATGTCTTTTAATGCACAAAATTTTCCTTTAAAGCTTTTAATCCTTTTTACATTCAATAATATCATATAGAATGTTATGTTGTTTGACAAAACATGCATATAAAAGTAACATATCATAAAAAGCTTATTACTTCAGTTGACCTTACTGCATAAACCATTTGTTTTAGTATTAAGATTTTTAGTACATACAAAATTTGCAATTACCGTGGGGCAAGATGCATATCATTGATTAGCAATAAAAAACAATAATCATTAGTAAATTTCTTTCAATACCTTTTCTTCAGAACTATTCTTGGGGAATTTAAGAATTCCTTTTTCGCCTGTGCTGTTAGAAAGTTGGCAGCCTCTTGATTCTTCTCGGCATAGTTGCACTTCAAGCCAAGACTCTTTCACCTTGAAGACAAGATAAATTGAATTAAGGTATTGAGACCAAAGCTTTTACAAGCATAGCATGAAAAGATTGATTTACAAGGTCTACATATACACCTCTCTGGGCATTGATGGATTTTCAAATAAAGAATATTCTCTAAAACTGATCCCAGGTCCAAATTCTTCTTCTGGTAGTTCTTTCAACATAATATTAACCTGCAGTAGCATGTACCACACAAATGTGGTGTTTGGCAAAATAAGAATCAGAACTGCACTGATTCTTCTGGATCTTTCTGAGTTCTCTAACATTTTGAGAGCAACTGAAGGTCAAATATCCAAGCAAATTAGCAATTAGTATGCATTAAAATAAAAACACATGCATCTAAGCATGTGCAATTGCACATCTATTGATGCAAAGTGGGACATTTTTTATTGCTAATGATACTAACACACCCAGGTTAAATGAATACAAAGTTGAGTAACAGAAAAACTAAACAAAGTCAAAGAAAGTGTTAGGGATATTCTATGAAATGCATTAGTACCAAAAATTAACTAAATATAGAGAGGACTTCAGTTCTACTTTTACATCAATACACAGATAATAGCACCTTAGGGTTTTATAACAAAACTGAATGTTCCATGACTAAACCGCTTTTGTATTATTATTGTTATTATTGTTATTATTGTTATTATTGTTATTATTGTTATTATTATTATTGTTATTATTATATTATTATTATTATTATGATTATATCATCATCATCATCATCATTATTATTATTAATTGTTATTATTATTGTGGTTGTTATTATTATTATCATTATCATTATCACTATTATTATTATATCATTATCATCATCATCATCATCATCATCATCATCATCATCATCATCATCATCATCATCATCATTATTATTATTGGTTAAATGACAGGTTTCTTTTTGGAGCTTGTTGCCTATCCTCTGTGCTTAGGTGATATTCTTTTGGTGTATATAAAGACAACCCTATTAATTACAATTTAAAAAATGCTTTTAAGCTACTATACACGTTTTATGCTTATTTAATACGATAGTATTTCTTTTGGACGAGCTACTAACAGGTCAAAGCTCAAAATGTTCTGATGATATTTTTATGTGCCCTTTTAAAAAGCCAAAAAAAATTCCGAAGTGCTTTAGTGATAAAAATTTCTTTTGGAAATTCCAGTCAAAACACTTGGGAATTGTATGTCAATTGTTACTACTGCTTTTCAGTTTTTTAGAACCGCTTTTAACAAAGGCACATCCAAACGAGCCCTACATCCAAGGATAAAACATACGTCATTGACAGTAAATTACATATTTACATGAAGCAATTTGAGTAACAGTTTGAAGCACATCCTTGTACCTCAAACACATGATCCAAAGGACAAACAAAGGGCTGCCTTGTCATGGAGCCTACCAAAACACCAGGGTGTCCAAACCATAATCTATCCAACCTACACCATAGTGGAGGCATCACCTACGATCACAAAGAATGGAAAAAAGAATCACGATATTGCCTGGTTTGGGTATATGCATGAAATCCAAAAGAACATTCAGCAAAAACAAGAATGGCCAACCCAGACATTGTAGGCAAAATGAAGAAGCAATTTAGACACCAACCAAAGATTGTGCAATTTGGAACCAGAGTCCTTGAAAATAAAAAGTTCATATATGGTTTCTTTTATGCTCATTGGGTTTTGGAGACCATATCACTTTTAAGAATATTGTTTTAAGATATCACTCCAGGAAATACAGAACACTACTTAATAGCCTCAATAAAAAAACCATAACCATTCCCTTTATGCCCCACTTAAAGAAAAATGAATCACTAACATGTCATCTTTTCAAAGAGGTAAATCTCAACTCTGAGCCTACATTATTGTATTTTCACTCTTTTGGGTGATCTAGTTCCAAAACAACAAAAATCGATCCTTGACAATAGAAAATAAGCCTTTTAGATTCAGCAACCAGATTTGTTACTTGATTAGGACTACAAGTGGGCAAGTGGCAAATGTTGTTATCAAATGTGACAACTTTAGTAATACTCCATACAAAAGTACTCCAAATACAAATATGATCACTTCCAGTTTTAGTGTCCTCACCGTTGTTTGTTTATCACTTTTGGTCCTTGAGTTTAAAATTGACAAAACTTAGTCATCAACTATTAAAAATGTGCAACCTTTTGTCCTCCAAGGACCAGAGTGCTCCCACATAATATAAATTGGGTATCAAATTTGGACAGCTTTGAATTCAAGTATAAAAATGGAAAACTCAATACTTAAGGCACTAAATTTAGAAATAAACCTATTTCAAAAACCTTACATAAGAATGAAAATTTGAAATTGTTCTGAGTTCTCACCAATGTGCGATTTAGCAGTGAAGCAACACCAAGTGCAGTCCTTATTTGTTTAATCTGAAAATAATGATTAAGGTGATCAGAGTTGGAAAAATACAGTTTGAAAACAATAATAAAAAGTTGGATGAAGTTAGAAATACCAACTTGGTAATTAACAAGAGAGAAGTGTGACTCAATATTATTTTCTCCATCTAGTAATAAGCTTTTGGGAATAGATGGTCTAAATGACAGAAAGCCTCCTGCAAAAGTTTTAAATTTGAGATCATGGCATTGAACTAGTCATTTTTTCGCAAAGAGTGTGATAGAAATATTGTGCTTGTGTATAGACTCAAGCAAAATCCACTAGACCACTACATATAATTGCATTTCCACTCACCCAATTTAGTTGTGAAATTGTGATTAATACCTTTGAGTAATCTTTTCATGACAGTGTCTTTCTCCTGCTACTACTATGTACCAGAGCTCTCCAGACTACACTAAAAAGATCTTCTGAAAATTCTTGAATTTTTATCTAACTTAAATTAAAACACTTGTATCAACCTCAATTCGAAAAGAAAAATTCTACTGAGCTAGATTCCAAAGAATGTTGGTGTTAGTATAAATAAAAATACAATAAGTACCCAATAAAAGAGATATAATTTGACAGGAAAAACCTGGCGGGTTGTAGTATTCTAATGGATCAAGGAAAACCTTAGCTTCACGCAATCGATGGCGCTTCCCTTCAGTCCCTCCATATTGGAATGTTGTATGTACAGCATAGGGCTCTAGTTTGAGTTGTTGGTACATCATCTACCAAAGTATTGTAACCGGAATGAAAGAGCATTATATAAATACTTGGCAGTGACATTCACCAGCTAAGGCAGAGTACCAAAATTGAATTTTGGACACAACCTACAAAAGTATGAATCAAGAAAGCCTAGAAAGACAAATATGTTCCTACATAAGGGAAAAGCACCTGGACAAAATAAGTGTGTCCACTACAAAAGATACTTGCAGGTAGAAGTCCCAGCTTGAGGTTTCCGTCATAAGCATAAAAAAGTCCACTGTCATCATCAATAGATGGACCCAACTGTCTGTGAATGATCTCATTGAAACCGTTCTGATCCCATATACTATCATCATTTATAAGCATTTCTTTCCACTCCTTCACCAACTTTTTTGAGGAATCTGTTGGCCGCCAGTGAAATATTCCGATATTGTACGCAGCACCAACTGCACAATACAACCCCTCAGAGTGAAATGGCTGCTTAAACTGTAGTGGGATGTTCTTAGTTAATAAGTACTACTAAGACCAACTAATCACTGGAAACCATAGTTTGCTCTCAAATAATATGGGGTGCAAAATACCAGCTATGACAACAACAAAAATCTTTCCAAAAGTTGTGATGATCAAATAAACTTGTTTTCAAATTGAAGATATATTAAAACACATTGTTACCGAACAGGCTTTACCTAGCTTCCAAATGTCCAAACTGTCATCTGTTACTGTTGGTGCAACTTGATCAGTAGATGTCAAGATGTCTGCTTCAGGGAAACGTGCAATGTACGGAAGCGGATTCTGTTTGCGGAACATACCATGTAATAAATGGATGTGATATCAAGTGACATGGTATTAAATAGTGAGAAGATAAAACTAAGCTAAGCTACCACTGGGCACACACAAAAGAAAGGTGGGAATAAAGGTATAACAGTTCCATGAGAGTTGAACTTAAACCTGAAACACTAGTATAAATATTGTTCCTGTATTGCCTACAAGAGAAATTTCTTCCTGAATTGTCATAGTGCGTGGACATGTTTGGTTCTTCAAAACAGTACTCAGCACACATGTTCATTATTTGACCAACTTTCCTTATATGGCCATCCCAAATAGGTATGCAACTTGTCCTTCAAGGAAACTTATTTGTGCCTTATATTATTTATCTCTTGGGCACAAATCACAGCCACACGAAATTCACTTATTCCTCACACTAGTCAAACATTGCAAAAGATTTAGGGACAGAGAAAGTATTTTTTCTATTTTAAAATTGAAAAAAATAAAATTACTCTAGACTATTCTTCCTCCAAACTAGCTTGCAAATACTTAAGCAGGTTAATAGAGTCCCAGTGAAGCAGTAGCTATTGGTTGAACTGTAAATGCCATTCACACCAGAAAGCGTAATTATAAGAACTAATAAATGGTAATGTAAGATTTAACAAATGTGAATCACCAAAAGGATAGAAAATATATGAAGTACTTCGTATATATTAAGATGAGATCTAAATGGAAAGCTAATGATGTAAAGGATTACCTTTAACCAAACCATGTCAGTGTCGCACATTAAGAGTTCAAAACCAAAAGGTAGGACAGCATCTATTAGAATAACTTTCTCCCTTCCCATTTTGTGAAATATTGGAGATCCCCATCCAACATCTACAGTACTCATATGGCTACCCATATCAAAAACAGGTATACCTTTCCAGTAGAGAGCCTCCAACAACTTGGTGTCCATCGCACCTAGAGAGTGTATATCACTTTGTCGGTATTTAGTGTTCCATTAGCGTTTTAAAAAAACTAAGAATATCTTATTATGCCAACAATTTTTTTTTACAATCAAGAGGATGAAAAGAAGTTACCAACTAGTAGGTTATTGACATCCATATCTGTCAAGTGCTTAACCCATGTCAATATGAAATCCATGAATGCATAGTTACCAAAGGTCACAACTATAACATTATTGCTAACTCTTTCCTCGAATAGTTCTTTTCTCAATCTGAAAGTTTCTAGGGATGGCATTCTTGAACCAGGAGGGGGGGCCTTCCATATTGGTTTCAGTGGCTTTCTTTGCACCTGAGCTTCTGGCCCTTGAGGTAGACCAACTGCGGCTGTTTGAGACTCATTGAGCTTATGAGTGGGAATCGCAATCTCTACTTCTGAATAAAACATCCCATAGGAAAGGCTAACGATTAGAAATACAGTAAATGAAAAGGCCATCGTCACTGGGCAAGAGAGGATATATTCAGAAATGAATTTAAGAATTATTCCATGGAAAAATTTGCATGATATTACCACAGGAGATAAAGACGAGGCAAGAGAGGTAGACAAAAGAGTATTCATACTGTTAATTGATAACTAAAGTTGATCAAACCTACCAAATTAACAGTCCCTGGCAAGTTTGTGGCAAGAAATTTAACCACTGACTAACATCATAAGGACTACATCTATTACACAGTATTTCTTTGTAAACCACTCATCTAAAGTTAATCAGTGTCAAGTTGCTTCACTCAAACATTAAGATGAGACAGAGGAACCTTTACTAACATCCATAGTTGTTAGTCCATGGACTGAACGTATCATCAACTTGGGCTCAGATGGCACCACATCAAAGCATAGGCCTCTTATTTACCAAATGTAAGTATTATTAGCACTGTCAAGCAAGGCAAGACCTAATGCATTCCTAATCACTACCAAATATGAGAATGTTGAAGGAAATTGAACAATTCTATATACTCCTTAGTCCTTATCACCAGAAAGCTCAAAACTTTAAGAGCCTAAAAGCATTCAATTAAATCACAAACCCAAAATATTCGTAGCTTCCCACCTAATAAAATACATAAAGTTCTATTTTGTTGTTTCGATGCATTAACTCTGTGAAAAATAGCTAGATACAGTACTGTAGCAACGCTTTGATAGCACATGCCGAAAATGCAGTATAAAATTGGAGATGAACTGAATTACACTATTTATGTATATGATGCAATCCTCGTAAACACAAATGTAAGTGGAGGGGAGAAGAACTGAGAGAGTGTGGGTGCGTGCCTGATGAAGATGAAGGAGAATCGTATGCGATGGAAAAGGCGGATATAGGCGGGGAGGAGGTGGTGGATGGGGAATAGACCGCAGAGAAGACATAGAAAGCCGAGAAGAGAACGCCAACAGAGACAGTGGCGTAGATCGTTAGGAACAAAGGCTTGGAATTGGCCACCTCCGGAACCATTTTACTTCTCCAGGCACAAAAGCCGAGACCGATCGCTCTACATCTTCATTGGCGAATGGAATCCAGAGCAACTAGCGAGGAAGGTTGGTGGTTTGACAGAAGCGAGTGACGGAGCAGCAAGGCTTCACCTCAAGTCAACCGTGTCCGGTGCCACCCGTATCGTGAGTACCAGCTAAGTAGCTGGCCTAAGTTTATTTTTGTGTGAATTACCTAAATAAAATAAAAAAAAGGGCAAAAATCACAAATAAAATTACATTATTTAGACAAATTTGCTATAGGTACCCTAAACTTACCCCAATTCTTACCCCATATAAAAGCCCTCCAAATAATTTACCCCCCAACCTCCCTCACGTGCGTCCCTCACCTTTCCCACTCACCTCCAACCTTTCCAAATCTCTCGCTCCCACCTTTCCCCTTCCCCACAACTTTCGAAAAACAACCCTCGGCGGTGAACCCTCACCGCCTTGCAGACCTCCGTTTCCAAATCTCTGAGTCGTCGCGTTGCACACCAGCCCAAATTCAAGAGCTGCATCGAGTTTCAACCCGCCCCGACCCATCCGTGAATTGAAGCAGTGTTTCGTGAGCACCCCCTCGTTGAAGACCTTCGTCCCTGTTTGTCCAAGTTCGTCCGAGCACTGTTCAGGTTCGTCCAAGTTCGTCCGAGAAAATTGCAGACCTCCGTCCCTGTTCGTCCATAACCCATTCTGAAGATTTTTGACTCCATGGTCCGCACAAGCTTATCACAAATGGCTGAAAGGTATGGAATTTGTTCTATTTTTGTTGAATTTATTTTATGTTGGTGTGAATGGTGTTGTAATTTTAGTGTTGTTTTTCATTATGTTTGTGAATACTTTGAAGTTGTTGTGTGTGATAGAACTCTTGAAAGTAGGTTTGTAGTTGTCTATGATGCCAATGGAGTTGTCTGGCAAGACATATGACAGATCTGGCTGGTCAATTTGAATTTTAAAAATTAGGTTTTTAGTTGTCTGTGAAGTCCTTGAAATTGTCTGGCAAGCCATAAGTCAAAGAAATTGGTTGAAATTATACAGGGCTTTTGAACTACAAGTTCCCGTGTCGAAGCAGTTTCCTGCCCAGTATTCTGTGTGCTCATTTTTCAAAGAGGCCGGAAGCTTGGTGCAGTCTGCCTTGACCAAGAAGCAACTTGAGGAGTTTAAGAAGCTGCCATGGGGCCACCTCATATCTGTGCCAGAGATGCAATTTTTGGGACAAATTATCCATTCTCTTCTGCTCAGGCTTGTACGGGACCAACCCGATGACGAGTTATGGTTTTGTATACAAGGGAAGCTGTTGAAGTTTACCTACGCAGATTTCTGCCGCATCTCTGGGATTAAAGCATCGAGGGAAAAGCCTGTATTCAGTACTGATGAAGAGGTTCGGGGGAAGGTGTTTGAGAAGTACTTTGCTGGATCAACGGACATAACCTTCAAGACGTTGAAGGAAAAGTTGAAGGCATTCAAGCCTAAAAGAGGAGATTCCACTGACCCTCTGAAGCTAGTGTCCTTGTGTTACCTTGTGAGTGTTCTGCTTGCAAGAGATAACAAAACAAAAATAAATTTAGACTATGTCAAATGGGTGGACGAGTTTGAGAAGTTTGGAAGCTGAATGAATTGGTTTTCAAGGACAATGATGATGTATTATATCTTATTTTCTTAAACTTAAGCAATTTGTCATAACATCGTATTATATAATTCAACTGTTTCATGTGTAGGAGGAAGAAGCAGAGGAAGATGTTGATGAGGATGATGAAGAAGAAACAGAGAACGAGGATGAAGAAGTAGGGAGGAAGGGGTTCAAGGCCAAAGTCATGGAGGAGATTAAAGCTCTGCGGAAGAAAGTGGCAGATTTGGAAACGAGGTTGAAGTTGATGGAAGAGAGGGTGAGTGCACCGTGTGGTGTGTCAAACAATGCGGCTGAGGTAAGGAAGATTTGATTTGTTATTCATTGTTTATTTCGGACTGGTAGTGTTAATACTATTGTTTGGCAGGTTGGTGGCAATGAGGTTGATGCTAATGCCATGCAAATGGATGATCATGACGACCCAACACACACTGAAGAATGTGGCCCAACGGCCGTTGTAGATGATGCAAACAATGTGAAGGAGTCTGATGTCATTACACCTTCGGTTGAGATCATCTCAACCATCCTCAATGAAGTAAGTCAATATGTCTGTCTAGTTCAATCTAATTGTCTGTCTCCAGACATTTTAACACACTTTTGGATGTGGTTGATTTTATGTAGCTGGCTGATGTTGTGGATGATTCAAAGGATGAGAGGGAGTGTGATCCTACTACAGCTTCCAATCCGATCATCTCACCGGCTCTTCTTGATGTAAGTTAAAATGTCGGTCTCATTGTATTGAATTGTCTATCTACAAACATCTTCACAATCTCAATCATTTGACTGTTTTATAAGGTGGTTGCTGCTAAGCTCACTAATCCTGCCCCTTGTGATGAAACATGCCCCATAAAAACTCCCGCGAATCAAAACATCTATATGGATGTGCTTTTGAAAAGGCCAAGATACCCTTCGAAGTATAGGGTCAGCCCTTATACCGAACCAAGAGCTTCAAAGCGGGCCAAACACATTATTGAACCCAGTCTTGAAATCCACCCAATCTTCATTGCTGAAACAGTTGAGGAATGGAATGAACTTAAAGATTGGATAGAAGGTGATGACAGTCAACCCCCTCTTAATGTAGTTCTTATGATCCCTGATGAATTTGAAGTCAACAAAGGTTTTTTCCAAGACTTGGTCACATGTAATCTATGGTTGGCCAACTATGTAAGTTCATGTACCCCTTTTTTAAGCATGTACATGCCATCACATGCATTTACAATGTATTACATGACTTCTAGTGTACATGTGTGACTGTTTTTTTAGCATCTTGATGCCATCACATTCATATTGAATCATGACTATGCTCGAGATGACTGTACTGTACTCAGCCCCTACCTTGTGGTACATATGAAATACATTAGTTAATTAGTTAATTGTCTGCTTGTTAGTCACAGATTAGTTAATTATTCCAGACTACTAATGTGTGGACCAGACAAAATTTATCTGGTAGGATAACAAAATAATATATTAAATTTGTTTTGTAGCATCAAATAATGAAAAAGTCAGAAGGCAATGTCAAAAAATATGATGATGATAAACTTCTAACCAAACAAGATTGGCGCTCATTTCAAAGGGTAATCCTTAGTGTTAACACATGCGTACGAATGCTTGAAATGCATATTTAGTTTGTTACTTTTTGGTGGCAGGTTTTACTCCCTTTTAACATTGATAACAAGCATTGGGTATTGGCAGAAGTGGATATTCAAAAAAAAATTGGTCAGGGTTTACGATTCCTTGAAGATGGGCAGAAGCATTTTTTATGTTAGGGAACTATGTGAACGGCTACCGTATCTCCATCACGTCTTTACGAAGTCACCAGAAGACTGTGAAGCCCTACCATGGGTTGCCGAGTTAGTTGATGGTGTTCCGCAGCAGGGGAGAGGGTATAAATTTCAACTTGTAATAGTTGTCTGTCTTCATTGTAATTGTCTGTCTATAGGTCTGAAGAATGTCGTAATTGTCTGTCTACAGATCTGGAGAATGTGGAGTGATGGTTGCAACCTTTGCAGAACACCTTTTAATGGGCAAGCCTTTGTTTCCAGGTTGTGAATATTCAAACATGTGGAACAAGAGATGCCAATATGCTGTCCGTTTGTGGCGACTAAAGAAAGTGGTTGAAGCATATGACTTTTCTATAAATCATGAATCTCTCTTTTTTGTGGAGTATTGAACAACTGTTAATTTGTAATGTTGTACAATGTTCAACAATTAGATGCAACATAATGTTTTGTTTTTGTATATGTAGCACCGTTTACATAATTATCAACAAAAGCAGTAAGTGCACATTCCAACTATTTGTTCAATTCAAAGTACAAACAATGGTAATTCAAAGTAATCGAAGGTTCAAATCCAACTCTTTTTCATTCATACAGGGCGTTAATACAGTCAAATCATAAATTTCTTGAGAGACTTCACTTGTTTGCACTCCACATGGCTCTTTCCTGGTTTTTTTTTGTTTTGCAACCGCCTGAAAAAAAACATCATTGTAAAAAATAATGAAATTTTAAATAAATTGGGTAGTTAAATGTACGAAACCTTTTGTTTCCTCTTTGACTTTTCTAGAGGACCCTTTATGTGGTTTTTCCTTGGTGCACCTTTCCTCTTTGTGATCTTCGGGTCTTCAATTGGACCCGGTGCAGTGGCATTTAAATTTGGATGCATTTGGGGAAGTTGTGTCATCACACCACAAACAGAATAATTTGTAAATGGAACTGTACATTCATGCAATTGGTCTTGCATCCATTGCATAACGCTCTTATACTTCTCCTCATCATCGGCAATGGCATTTGCAAGAGATTCAAAAGTCTTACACAACTTGTCATACCGTTGTTGTTCTACGGTTGTGATCCACCCTTCATAGTTAATTTTTACTCATGTGTAAGGGCGTTTTAAATCTTATCTCCATCTCGGTAATATGTACACCTCGGGCAACATTTTGACATCATTGCGTTGTAGAACCATAAACATATGCCTACACACTGTGCCTCTAAATTCAAACAAATGACAACTACATTTGCATGTGCAAGAGCTGGAGTCAAATTCCACTATGAAATAAACACTCTTGTAAAAGTCGTCCGTAAATTTCTTTTCTTCTTTGACATGATACACTTTACCTTCATCGCATTGAATGATGTCACAATAAAGCTTGCCAACCACTTCTTCTTGAAACTCCTTGAACTTCGTTAGTGTGTATAATCCTTGCATTTGTTTTTCCATTGCAAAAGAAGTCACACATGGTATCAATTTTGTAAATGAATTAACGTCTGCTTGAAACTCTTTTTCAGCCTTACATTTTAAGGCACGACCATATTGCTCCACAAATTGTTTCAGACTTGTTTTCGAGTGCACAAAATTATCGAAGAAGGCGTTCATGCTCTCACTTCGTTGAGTTGTTGACATACCCGCCCAGAATGTAGGTTTCAAGTAACAAGGAACCCACCTATGGCGTTCATCGTACATGACCCCAAGCCATTCGTCATCTTGAAGTGAATACATACGATTAATACACAATATGAGTTAATTGTCCCAGACTACTAATGTCTGGCCCAGACATAATTTGTCTGGCTGTAAGACAGAGATGAGTTTATTGTCCCAGACTACTAATGTCTGGCCCAGACATAATTTGTCTGGCTGTAAGACAGAGATGAGTTTATTGTCCCAGACTACTAATGTCTGGCCCAGACATAATTTGTCTGGCTGTAAGGCAGAGATGAGTTTATTGTCCCAGACTACTAATGTCTGGCTCAGACATAATTTGTCTGGCTGTAAGACAGAGATGAGTTTATTGTCTCAGACTACTAATGTCTGGCCCAGACATAATTTGTCTGGCTGTAAGATAGAGATTAGTTAATTGTCCCAGACTACTAATGTCTGGCCCAGACATAATTTGTCTGACTGTAAGACAGAGATGAGTTAATTGTCCCAGACTACTAATGTCTGGCCCAGACATAATTTGTCTGGGAATAAATAATAGATTTCCTTTCTAATGTGTACCACCTTTCCGAATGAGATTTCCAACCGATTTCAAACTCAGCAGGGAATTGGGAGTCATATACTGCATCATGTATACCATCCATAATTTTATCTTTATGGGTAAACCCTCCCAACTTCTCCGGTAGCTTCTTCATGATGTGCCATAAACACCATCGGTGTCGCGTATTCGGAAACACTATTTGGATGGCGTTTTGCATAGCTCGATCTTGGTCGGTAATAATTCCCTTTGGGGCACACCCGTCCATACACTGAAGCCAAGCTTTAAAGATCCACATAAACGTATGAGTATCTTCACTCGAGATTAGGCCACAACCAAGCAATATTGATTGACCATGGTGATTGACGCCTACAAATGGCGCAAACGGCATGTCATATCGATTGGTAAGATATGTTGTGTCAAATGTAATGACATCCCCAAAATCATTGTGAGCATATCGACATCGATTATCCGCCCAAAAAACATTCCGTAAGCGTGACTCTTCATCCAAATCAAGCATAAAGAAGAACCCGGGGCATTGAGCTTGCATTCTACAAAAAAAATCTTGTAATGCCACCGCATCACCACTTCCCAACCTAAGTTTACGCACTTTATCTATATAGTTCCTACAATCCTTTTCAATGAAGGAAAGTTGATCATATCCGCCGGCTTCAACAACCGTGGAGTTGAAACTCTTATGAAGTGGTATACCGGCGACATCATTGATTGCAATTTGCCTCATAGCTTTCCGTGTCAACCTCTTATTACACTGAAATAGTCTAGACTTCGTAGGACTCATAGGATGGTTATGATCTAAACAAGCCGTTGAAATCATCCAACCCCCGACATAATTTATACGTGCTCTTATTTTGGCCAAGCAACCAACTTGCATCGAAGGTAGAGGCTTCAAAACATTTTGTGCACGGCTTTGCCTTTTTCCAGCGCGCCAACACTCTAATGCAATTGTAGATGTCGTTCCATCCCCATCTTTCCTAGAATTCCTTATTCTAACAGGAAACCCTACTCTTCTCCTGTACTCCTTGTAGAAATCATACACTGCATCTTTACTGGGGAACTCCGTACCAACAACGGGGACTTCAATACAAATTTGTTCTTCCTCTTCATCTGTTATTTCAGAAAAATATACATGTTCACTACATTTATCATTTTGTCTCTACAAACAAACAATAATTGTAATAAATACATACATATAGTGTGCCCGCCAAACCATGTTTAAAAAAAAAACACCTTTATATAACACTCTAACAACTATAAAACCACGTTCACTTCAAACAACTATGAGACCGCGTTTACGTTAGGCTTGCCAGACACTGCACTGACAAATTGTCTGTCCGCCAGACAAAATACAAAAATGACGGAAAATAAACATACTCTTGTCCAAGACTTCCACATCTTCATCATCTTCTTCCCTTGAAGTCGCTTCTACTTCAACAGCCTTCGGAGATGGTGGATTACCACCGTCACCCACCTCATCAAGCTTCTCATCTTCATCTCCCCATGTCAATCCATCCAAACAAAACTCATCACTAAAGTCAGATAAATGCTTCCCCATCACATCCATCCAAGAAGATGATGTAAAGAAGGAGGTAAGAACTCCGTCGAGCACTGTAGCAGTTCGAAGGTTGGGGTGTGTTTTGGCGGAAACAAGAAGAGTGGATGGAGGGTTTTGGAGATGTGAGAGAGATATTTTTGGAAAGGGGTAAAAGGGATGGTAAAAATAGGGGTATTTATATGGGGTGGGAATTGGGGTAAGTTTGGGGTACCTATAGCAAAATTGTTGTTTAGATTCAGTAGAATTACTTAGTGTGTTGTTTTAACAAATATACGCATGTAGTTTTTGAAATATTTTTCGTAGTAATTCATAATAAACCCGTAAAAAATAATAAAAAAATTGTAAAAAATTGTGGAAAATTAATAAAAAATTATAAAATAAAGCTTTTAATAAAGTTGATTTTTTTAAAAAAATAATAGTAAATGTAAAAAACTAAAAAACTGTTGCCTCTGTCACTCCCCTAGCACCACCAGCCGCCAATCTCCTGCGATCACTTGAGAGAAAAAATGCCAACATGATTTAAGAATGTCATATTAATGGCAGTTTCAATGAAAATTTTGGCGTTATCAACAGTGGCGGATCTAGTATTCATATTTTGGGTGTTCAAAATTACATATTTTGTCCTTACAATACTAATAAATGATCTATTACTTTAATTCATGCACATATATATATATATATATATATATATATATATATATTCCCATTGATTTTATGTTTTTGGGTGTTCACATGAACACCTTTGCATAGAAGACATCCACCACTGGTTATCAAGAGTAATAATGTCATTTTCTTGGTATTTTTCAGAAAAAATTGTCATTTTGTTTACAAAAAATGACATTTTTCACCGATCAGAGGTGCCGCTGCTGGGAGACGATAGAGGCGGTGGGAAAGACATACATATTTTTTATGGATTTTTACTATTTTTCAATAATTTTATTAAAAATTCAATTTTTTTGAAAATTTTATTTTATAAATATGTCATTGATATTTTATTATTATTATTATGATTTTTATTATTTTTATGATTTTATTATGAGTTAAAACATTTCATTATGAATTAATACTCTTAGGGGTATTTAGGATAGAAATTTAATGTTTAGTCCTAGTTGTGAACGATTTAGGATTGTAGTCTTATTTGTGATTTTTAGGCAAATTTTAGTCTTATGTATGGCAATTACTTTTTATATTTTGGGCCCACTTCAAGTTTACTCAATTCAATCCTTTAAATAATACAGATTCAGCTCCTCTCCATTTCTTCTCCATTTCTTTTTTTTTTTGATAATCCAGGTGTCAGGGCTTACGCTCTAATAATCCTGGAGTTAACTACCCTCCAAAGCCCCTAGACAATTAATCCGGATCTGATCACAGTCAGCCCCGTCAGTACTGGTTCCAAAGGACGAATCCAGCAGGACTTACATCACCTTTCAGGCTACTTCTCCCACCACACGAACCCGCTACCTTCATTACCATCCTCTCCTTTCTCGGCCGCTGAGCAACTCCGTGAAGGTAGGAAGAATAATTGGGAGCAAGACCTCTCTCCTCTCCCCTAAATGTGCTTAGCGGGATTCGAACCCGAAACCTCCGCTAGGACACGGTAACCTTCCACCCAGTGAGCAGAATGGTTGGTTTCCATTTCTTTTTTACTTCTTATCTATCTTTACCTTTTTCTCTATCTTACTCACCAACCTACCTCACCTTAAATTTTCTCCTCTCTATATCTTTCCTAATGGAACTCTCCAGTCACTGGAGAAGATCCAAATCCAACTAATA